CAATGTTTTCTGTCCACATACAATCTTGCAATTTTGAATTCAGCTTCCCGCGCGTCCGAGTATAACTTATGGCCTCGTGAAAGTTTCGGCGAGACAGTGAAAATCATTGGCAGGCAATCTTTCGGTGAACGGAATTGCACAAAACGCATGACCGCACCGGCTGCCCTGGTGCGCATCGCTATTTATTCATTTATTTTTTGTTGATTGTTATGTTTTATTATTAATGTAATTAAAGCCCTTTCCACGAGCTGTATCTCGAAAGCCACAACAGAAGCTGCAAGCAGCTGCCAGTGAGATCGATCGAACTGTTGCGAAGCATTCAATATTTTGGAAATATCACATGTCATATGCAGCCATGCCAGCTATCTTTCTATCAAAGTTGAAAACACTTTGGCGATATTTTATGTAGGAGCTAAGATACCAATTTCGTCCTTGGTTCTTCCAGGTGGCGTAAAATAAAATCGTGATAGTTCATAGGCACCAAAAAAGAAGAAATACCCAGGCACCTCCCTACACAACGTAGCAACCATGCCCGTGTAAAATGCCCGTAAACCATGCATTCTGTAGACATCGCGGCACGTTGAAAATAGCGTACTGCAACACCGTGAAGAGGTAAAGAAAACGTTGAAATTTTAATACAAATTGACATTGTACATGAACAAGTTTGTTTGTAGCATGAGACGTAGCAAAACTTTCGTTCCAACATTCATATTTCTATACTTTTCCGAACAGTATGCGCTCTCGTTTTCTTCCTGCTTATTATGCGTTTTTAGCTGTGTAACAGCAGTACAAGACGCATACTGTCACGGGGTCGTCTATGTGTGTCTGTCCGCAGCAACCTGTCCGCAACTTTCAACTCGGGAACCACAAAAGCTAGAAAGCTGAAAATTTAGGGGAACGTTCCCCACCCACGTGTGACTCCGCAAATTTAAATTCATCTTCCCCGTACCCGCGGGTAACGCGTACGGCCCTGTGAAAGTTTTTTACCCACGTGTGATCCCGCAAATTTAAATTCAGCTTCCCCGTACTCGCGGGTAACACGTGCGGTCCCGTGAAAGTTTTTTACGGGTAAGTTAATATCTCGGGAACCACGGAATCTAGGAAGCTGAAATTTTAG